TTAATGGTAAAAATTAAAATGAAATAAAATATAACAAATGACGATTCTTCTACTAAATAAGAAAATGTAAAGAGATTAAAAGAGTAAAATCTCATTTTAGAATGACAAAAAATATATCAAAGTAATATTATACATTGTTCAATATTATTCACTTTTTAAATAAGATGAACAATTTGAGAATCATCCGCAACAAGGATTGTTGGATTCTTAAACCTTTTTTCATAAAATCAATTAGAGAGTAATAATATGACTGCAAAAGACTAATCAAATATCTATACTATGACTGCGACGAGCTCGATTTGATCGTTTGATTGATGAGATAAACATAAATTTTGGAATATATGAAATTTATGTGATTATCTTATCTAGCATTTGGTAATAAATATTCCTTTTGTTTCAATTTATTTATCTAGTTTTACTTGGTATGAAGTTTAATAAAGTAATATTTTTTTTTAAATAAATTATAATCTTAAATCAAAGATATGTAGAATTTACCAAAAGTCTATTTATCTTGTGATTTTAAATATGTTACGTGGAATGTTAAATTGAAATTTTCCACTGAAAAATATTCAATGGTTTTTCCCACACACTAATTTTGATTGAAGCCGTGAACAAAGAAAAAACAGTAGTGTTTTCATAGAAAAAAAATAATAGAAAGTTTCTTAGTATTTCAGTGAGAATTTGTTTCCCACCAAACATTTTGTCAAAGACCTGATTCGATAAAGAATTATTTGTTTTATAACAAAATATTTACATCAATTCTTAATAAAAAAAACTTCTATTTCAAATAATGGACAGAAATTGTTAATCTTATAATTATTTTATCTCACTGTTTTAATATAAATAATGAAATAAGTTAATAAAATAAACTTCTCACAAATATCTCAAATTTCAACCTATAAAATATCTTCACATATCCATCCCACCAATCAAACGACCCCATATGTTCCTTATAATGTAGCTAATAAAATTTAAGAGCCTAATAAAATGAGACTAGCAGCCCCATAATTATTTAATAATAATTAATATTTAATAAATTGAAAGAAATTGCTTGGAAACCTCTATATCCATTAAATAGTAATAATAAAATTAATTTAATAAAAGTCTGTTAGTTTTAAGGGTAAGGGTGGACCAAAAAGGTAGAGTGAGGGGTATTTTTAGCCAAATAGATAGATGAAGGGTATATTTGAACCTTTTCGAATAATCCAAGGGTATTTTTGGCCCTTTTCTGTAGAATTAATTAAGAATAATTCCCATAAGTCCACAAAATAACTTTACATTTTTAAATTTAGTGACCAATCAAACTTACAATAAAAAGCTATAGAAATGGAACGAATAAATTAGCTTTACACCCTCCATTCAAATTTATTTGTGTTTTATTTTTTTATCGGTTTAATAAAAGAATATTGATATATATTCAACTCTTTTTATAGACTTTCTATTTAAAAAATCTATTATGGCTTTTCACGTGACATATTTTAGACCATTAAAAAGTATTTTTATACAATCTAATTTCTATATATGTTTAATTTAAGACCATAAAAGTCAAAATCAAACAAATGAAATGGAGTAAATAAAAAAGATCTCAATTATTGTTGACTTTAACTTTTGTGTTATAAAAGTTCTTTGAAATAGAAATGCAATTATTGCCTTCCAATTCTTTTTTTTTTTTTTTTTTTTTTTTTTACCAAAAAACCATTCGCACAGAAGTGTTCACCTCCTGTGTGATGGGGGGGGCTTTGGCAAGCCCCCTACCATATCCATTTCACTACATATATATAAAAAAATACATGAGTTGGAGGGGGACATCGAGCCTTACCTCCTTTTACATCATAGAATACAAAAAATATCCTAATAGAGATTATGATCAGAAAAGGATCTTAAGTCATTAATCTCCCATGTGATGCACCCAAAAAAAAAAAAAAAAAAAAAAAAAAAACACCTAGAATGTAGCACACGGAAGAAACAAGCGATGAAATGACTTATGGAGGGTCGTAGTGCCAGAAAGAGGCCTTTTTTGGTCTTCTCCTGAAGGAAGGCAAGTGAAGTTTATTCATTCTTAAAAGACCCCTAACCTCGGCCGGAAGTTTAGACTCCTGAAGTAAATGATCGGCTCTTGTATAGTAGTAGCGTACTTAGCAAGAGCATCTGCAACTTCATTTCCTTCCCTGTAACAATGTTTTACTATTATGTTTCTTTGAGCAATCTTATTCTTGATGTCTTCAATAAGGTTGTGGATTCTCCAAGGTAGTTTACAACTCCCATTAATCATTCGAACCACAACTTGAGAGTCCAGTTCTACCTCCAATTCCAATTCAAACAAAGGAGAAAATGTTAGTAATCGGTATTGTGTTCATTGTGTTGGCTTCTGTGGTTTTCATAACTTGTAATTTATTATGCTGCCTATGCGCGGGCCGAGGTGGAGGTAGAACGAAGAAGAAGCTATCAAACATTGAAAAAAGGTACGAAAAAGACCACCACTAGCATCGGTAGCCGTGCCACACGAGATGGGAATATGGTTGTTTTGGCTGGAGCGGGTGGTGCGGTAGTTGGCACGGCTATAGCTAGTGGTGTCATGACTAGTAACGATAAACGTGATTGTGATAATAAGGGTGGTAATAGTAATATTAGTGGTGGTTGTGGAGTTGTAGTTGGAGGTGGTGGTTTTAAGGCTAAAATGTTACTGACAGTAACGACTCTTTAATAACACAAAAATAGTTTAAAGTCTCAAAACCCAACATGCTTTGCAAATAGAATAATTTGTAGCAAAAGAACGTTGAATAATAACACAAGAATAGCTATTGTTTTTACTTGTAAACGGCTAGAAAGGAAAAAGAATGGGCAGCTAGATTAAAATAAAAAAAGCAAAAAGAATGAGTTCTTGAAGTCATTTAGATCTAGGGTTTTCGTTTATCCCAAAAAAAGAAAAAAGATCTACAGGTTTTCAAAGGCAAACTAAGGTTAATGATGCTAAATATATAACTTGGTTATATTAATCCTCAATTTTGACAAGATAAAAATTTAAAATCTAACTGGAAAGAAAGTCTTGGAAAGATGAATAAGTTCTTCCTAAGTAAAACTGTACTGTCCTTATAAGGTATTCGTGATTGAATTTTAAAGAATCGTTACTGGCAATAACGTTTTAGCCTTAAAATGTGGCTATGAGTAACGAATTAATAAAACAAATTTGACAATAACGTTTTATGTCTGTTTACTCCGTCAAATATTTGTCTTTTTTCCATTGATTTTTTTTTAATAAAATAATACCTAAAACGTTACTGCCAAATACGTTTATTCCATTTTTGTAAAAATTTTAAAAAATGTATTGTTTTGGTGAATTGGTTTAAATAATGACTTATTTCGGTCAACTACTCCGATTTGATCGTTTGATTGATGAGATAAAGATAAATTTTGGAATATATGAAATTTATGTGATTATCTTATTTTGTATTTGGTAATGAATATTCCTTTTGTTGCAATTTATTTATCTAGTTTTACTTGGTAGAAGTTTGAGAAAATATTTTAAAAAAATAAATTATAATCTTATATTAAAGATATGTAGAATGTATCAAAAGGTCCATTTATCTTGTGATTTTAAATATGTCACGTGGAAAGTTGAATTGAATTTTTTCACTGAAAAATATTCAAAGGCTTTTCCCACACACTAATTTTGATTGAAGTCGTGAACAAAGAAAAAACAGTTGTGTTTTCATAAAAAAAAATATAGAAAGTTTGTATATCAGTGAGAATTTGTTTTCCCCACGAAAACATTTTATCAGTGACCTAATTCGATAAAAAAAATAAATTGTTTTATAACAAAAAAATTACATTAATTCACAATTTAAAAAACTTCCATTTCAAATAATGGACAGACAAATTGTTAAAAGTTATAATTACTTTATCTCACTACTTTTTAATATAAATAATGAAATAAATTAATAAAATAAACTTATCTCACAAATATCTCAAATTTCAACCTATAAAATATCTTCACATATCCATCCCACCAATCAAACGACCCCTTATGTTCCTAATAATGTTGCTAATAAAATTTAAGAGCCTAATAAAATGAGACTAGCATCCCCATCAATATTTCTTAATAAATTGAAAGAAATTGCTTGGAAACCTCTATACCCATTAATAATGTTGACTTTTTTCTAGTTCTTTTTTTCCTTTCAATTACAATGATCTTTATCAACCAACAACCATATCATAGGAATCTGAAAATGAATTGAGGTGAGATAGTTGAGATTTCTCTGTCCTTAATTAGACATTTGAATTCAAATCTCGAGAATTGAATTTCTTTTATTAAAAATGTTGCCTCCAAAAATAAACCTTGCAATATATAGACAACTAATGTGAAACCCTAAAGGGACCTATCATGGTTGACTTTTGACTTCATAAATGTAGCCAAATGGAAAATTAAGAAGAAGAAAAAAAGAAGCATAATGTTTTGAATAGTAGCAAATGAATTGATCTAAGAATTGGTTAAGAATAATTCCCAAGTTACTTAATTTCAGGTGAATTTAATTTAGAAACTCAATAGTATAATCTGGTATAACTGATGTTGAAAAACAAACTGTTTTCCTTATATATTATAAGTAAAATCCAAACTATAATACTCTCTTCATTCTAATTTACATGATAACGTTAAGTCCACAAAATAACTTCACATTTTAAATTTAGTGACCAATCAAACTTACAATAAAAGCTAGAAATGGGACGAATAAATTAGCTTTATACTCCCTCCATTCAAATTTAGTTGTCTTTTGTTTTTTTTTATCAGTTTAAAAAAGAATCTTGATATTCAACTCTTTGTATAGACTTTTTATTTAAAAATCTATTATGATTTTTCACGTGATATGTTTAAGACCATTAAAAAATATTTTTGTACAATCTAATTTCTATATATCTTTAGTTTAAGACCATAAAAGTCAAAATCAAACAAATAAAATGGAGTAAATAAAAAAAAACCTCAATTATTGTTGACTTTAACTAATTTTGTGTTATAAAAGTTCTTTGAAATAGAAAGGCAATTATTGTCTTCCAATTCAAACAAAGGAGAAAATGTTAGTAATCGGTATTGTGTTCATTGTGTTGGCTTCTGTGTTTTTCATAACATGTAATTTATTATGCTGCTTATGCGCAGGCCGAGGTGGAGGTAGATCGAAGAAGTCACCCGACGTAGAAAAAGGTATGAAAAAGACCATCACTAGCACCGGTAGTCGTGCCACACGAGATGGGAATATGGTTGTTTTGGCTGGAGCGGGTGGTGCGGTAGTTGGCACGGCTATAGCTAATGGTGTCATGACTAGTAACGATAAACGTGATCGTGATAATAAGGGTGGTAATAGTAATATTAGTGGTGGTTGTGGAGTTGTAGTTGGAGGTGATGGTGGTGGTGGTATGGATAATTCCGATACGAATCACGGGTGTTGTTGTGGCGGTGGTGGTGGTGATGGTGGTGGTTGCGGTGGTGGTTGTGGTGGATGTGGAGGTTAGTTAGTTACTAGTTTTCAATTTGGACGCTAGCCATGTAATTTTTTATTATGGTTGATAATTGTAAGATGTAATGCACATTGGATTTTTCCTCTTCTTGTAGTTTTCTTTCCTTTTGTTGTTTTAGATTTATTTATTTTTGTTGTGTATGTTGTTTTACTTAAGGATGTGTACCGGTGAAAATAGATGGAGCAGCAATAAATACATGTCATGATCTTTGGAGAAATTTTTGAATATCATCTCTTTCAATACTATATTAATTAAGACTTTGTTATAAATAGTATGTAATTATTTAAATTTATTAATTATAAATGATTGTAGGATTATAAGATCAATAAATACAATTAATAATTAAGATTCAGATTTAAAAAACAAACAAATTTAACAATTGATATATGAATAATTAATTCTAAGATCTTCTTAATTAAATACAACAAATGAGGCCTTGATCGAGTAAGAGACCCTTTTGCATCTTTCTTCTTACGTCACTTTAATTTTGATATGTCTCAACAATGTTTAGACATGATTAAAAAAAATCATAGCATTGAAAGGTTGTCTTCATCTATGAGGCAGATCGAGTTAATTGAACATGTAATTTTTCAAATGAAGGTCACAAGTTTAAAATATTTTACATATTTTTTCGATAGAACTTGCGTACTGAATTTGTCTATTGCACATAGTTGACATCCAAAGTAAATTTCAAGAAAGTCAACGACGACTCAAACTCAAGTTGGATTAATTATATTCCCAAATCAAATAAATGTGCAAACACATGCCTTCAATATATAACACACAAAAGTCGTACTGAAGTTCCTAAATACAATCACATTTTCCTTTATTTCTTCGCTCTGAAATATATATACTCATCGTGTTCTTATCCAAATAATACAAATTTTCTCTACTTAAACTTCGTAAAAGAATAAATTTCTTAAGGACGTACAATATTTGCAAATAGTTATATATTAAGATGGATAATGAATCTATTATGGTACTATATTTGGTTCTAGGTATATTTGTGGCATTTGTTATGTCATTTATTTGTTGTATTTGTTGTAGCAAGATGTTGAGGAATATTGAAACTATTCCTGGTGGTGGAATATTGAATGCAACCCAAACAAGTAGAGTTTCTGGTGGAAGAAGGAACAATAATATTGATGGTGCTGGTGTTGGTGTTGGTGTTCTTGCTATGGCTACTCTAACAAGCATAACGTGTGATACAAGTAATATGTTCGGAGGTTTTCAATGTGACGGTGGTGGTGGTTTTGGTCATAGTGGTGGTGGTGGTTGGGGTGGCGGAGGTGGTGGTGGTGGATTTTGAATAGGTCAAAGTCATGTTATTACTATTCTTTAGTACTTAAATAATTCAAATTGCTATAATGTATATATATATCACTCAACGCTCATGTTATATTATATAAAATCTTGTTGTTTTGTTAGAAATGTCAAAGTAGATAAAAGTTTGGAGTTCATTTCTAGTATTGATATTCAACTAATAAGTTATTATCTGAGTTATCCTTTTAGTTACTCGATTCTACTTTTCTTTAATAAAGAAAGTAACTTTCTGAAATAATAACTATTAATTACTCTATTATTTTGTGTTACGTCTCCGATTGGACAATGTAGGAGAAAAATAGGTTTCAAGAAACTTAAAAAGAGGTTCTTGAAAGTTGAATATGTGTGTATAATTTATAGTTGTTCTTGAAGAGTTGTGAGTATTTTGTTAGTATATATAGGAGAAGAACTTTCTTATAAAAGTTAAGTGAAGGAAATAATGTAAAAATTCCAAGACGTGCAATTTCACATACTTACTATTTAGAAATTGAATAATTCGATAATATATGATAGAGTAATATCTATTCTTAAGAAATTTGAGCCTTGACAAATTTGTCGCTAATTCATAGCTAAATTGGATAAGTATGAGATTTTTGCTATTTAGCTATGAAAAATTTGTTTGTCCCTAATCTTTTAATTTTCCACCTTAAAGTAGCATAAAGATTTACATAATTACACTCACTAATTCTGGATGACAATCATACACAAGTTAATTATATGTATATAGTCCATCTCTTCGTGTTTATGGATGTTAATTCCTATATACAAGCTTTCGGGAAGATTGTAATGATTGTCGTTAGTGATTTATTATTGTAATGGTGGCTGATGATGATAATTGTAATTTGTAAATAGTGATTAATGGTGGTAAAACAAACTTATGTGATTGACTAAAAGCTATAAGTTGCAGAGGCGGACCCACCCTATAATAACTTCGGGTAAAAATCCTGTCAGTATAACTATATATATATCTATCTTGAAAACTGACATAAATTAGGATATAGATAACCGCGCACCCATGAAGAGTGTAGGTTTGCTATTGTGTTGCTGGTTCAAACTAGAGGAATCAATACCCATGAGACATGGATTTGAATCTAGCTACAATGCTATTTTATTGTTTTTATTTTTTAAGTTTATCTTAGAGCTCATATTTGAGCTAAGGTAATATTTGGGGGAAAATAAGCAAATACCCCATATATTAATGATACCACAACAATATACATATATACTCTTATAGTATCATTGACTAATGAGTAATTTCTGAACAAGAAATATTAATGATACCACAACAATATACATATATACTCTTATAGTATCATTGACTAATGAGTAATTTCTGAACAAGAAATATTAATGATACCACAACAATATACATATATACTCTTATAGTATCATTGACTAATGAGTAATTTCTGAACAAGAAATATTAATGATACCACAACAATATACATATATACTCTTATAGTATCATTGACTAATGAGTAATTTCTGAACAAGAAATATTAATGATACCACAACAATATACATATATACTCTTATAGTATCATTGACTAATAAGTAATTTTTTAACAAAAAACCTTAATGATACCAATACAGTATATATATACTGATTTAGTATCAGTTAAGCGAAATTATCAACCTTAATGATATCAATACAGTATATGATACCGATTTAGTATCACTTAAGCGAAAATTATCACCCTTAATGAATGGGGGTATGGACTGTAATTATTTATGAGAGAATGGGTATTTCTGGAATTACTTTGGATTTGGGTATGAACTTGTAATTATTTTAGATTTTATGGCCCATTTATGTAGTTTTCCCTAATATTTGTGCATCCGAAGTCTTCAAAACATGGGTTAGCCTCTGACAAGCTGTTAGAGAAAGCGTGCGGGACGTTTGCTCTAATACTATGTTGAAGTGTGTGACCATCTAATCTAAAAATTTATACGGTTTAAAATAACACATTTTATTTATTTAATTATATTCTCAAATCGATGACGGTTAGTGATGATCTTCTTCTCACGTCACTTTAATTTTGAAACGATCTGTTAATAAATAATATTAAAAGGTTGTTCTTTCCCATGTTATGACATTCCAAGTAAATTTCAATAAAGTCAATGAAGACTCAACACAAGTTGGATTAATATTCTCAAATTTTCATGTGCAAACACATGTCTTCATGCAGAAATTACGTAAAGTTAAGAAACCAAAAGACCTCAATATATAACACATTAAAGTCATGTTGAAGTTATACCATTTAAAGTTCTTGTTTTGTACGTGTTCATCTTACTATAATCACATTTTCCTTTATTTCTTTGCTCTGATTAATATTCTCATCGTGTTAATATAGTAGAAGCTTAAATTCCTTAAGGACAGTATAATTACGCGTCTTAGTCTTCTATTTTTTGACATGGAGGAAGTTGTTATGGTACTCCTTATGGCCTTACCTGTGTCTGTGGTTGTGGTTCTTATCGTTCTTATTATCGCGTTTTCCAGCAAGACAGAGAAGAACAATGAGAGTCCTGCTGGTAACAATGCAACCCAAAGAAGTATAGATTCTGGTGGAATGGGGAACATTCATAGCATAGGTGATGGTGCTATTGGTGTAGCTACTCTAACCAGCATAACATGTAGTGGTGGTGGGGGTGGTTTTGGTGGGGGAGGAGGTGGTGGTGGTGGTTGTGGAGGTGGTGGTTTTGGTGGAGGAGGGGGTGGTGGTGGAGGAGGAGGAGGAGGAGGAGGAGGAGGTGGTGGTGGATGCTGAATTGGTAAAAAATGTAACTACTATTCTATATAGTAAAATGTTTTGATTTCAAGTTGTAATTTCCTTCATGTTTTTATTTTTAAAGCTTGTTGGTTATTGATAGAAATGTCAATGTTGAGATACTTTGTGAAGTGTTTGTTTGGACCATATATGGAAGAAAATTAATCAAAGAAAAAGGCAGTCTGATGCACTAAGCATCCCGAGTTATAGTTGGGGTACGTAGACAGTCTACCCTAACACAAACATTAATGTTTGTTTCCACTGTTCAAATTCATAAAATCATACAAAAAAACGTTTTCTTCATCTCACACACTTCTTGTACGTGCAACTGTTATCCACACAAGCATAAAAGGTGGTATTAATACCAAACTAGTCTGGAGAGTAATAGGACCCTGCAAAGTTGAGTGGTGTAGTTGGAAAGATGAGAGAATGCTAGTTTGAGAGGTAGTTATTTATTATCTCAAGAACAAATTGACACATTAATTTTTACATGGGATTAAAATTTAACTACATGTATATTAAAAAGAATTGAAAAATGTGCATGGCATTTATACAAATAAAAAAATTAACTAATTATGATAAATGATAATTTCAATTGTTTATTTTAGACTTTTATTTTCAACACCTTTTTTTCCTAGTAATGTTCCAATATCGTATTAAAGTGAGATTACTACTCTAATAATTTATTTGACTTGAAAAAAAAGTCAACATTTATAGAATTGAAAAATGCGCATGGCATTTATACAAATAAAAAAAATAAACTAATTATGATAAATGATAATTTCAATTGTTTCTTTTAAACTTTTATTTTCAACACCTTTTTTTCCTAGTAATGTTCCAATATCGTATCAAAGTGAGATTACTACTCTAATAATTTATTTGACTTGAAAATAAAAAGTCAACATTTAACGATAAAATTCATTTTGTAATGTCATTATAGTTTTTTATAATTATTATAATTTTAATTTTCTTAAACCTATTTCTAAGAAAATATTACTTGGTAAATCTCCAAATAAAAGAGTTCTTAGATAAATTTTCAAGAAAAAAAATTCCACTTAAAATTACAACAACAAAATTTTCAAGTATATACATATTTCCAAGTAAATCCCCAACAAAATTCTTAGAACTTGAATCTTTAGATAAATCCCCACGTAAGTATTCTTAGCTAAATCTGCAAGTAACTTTATTCATGGATTTTCTTGTAAACTAACATAGAAATTAGTTTTAGCTCATTACTCTGCGGATTTACCTATGAAAACAATACCAACAGATTAGTTGACCGAAATAATTTTTGCATGTAAAAAGTTGTAGAATTTATAAATTTCATATTTCGGCTTGAAAATTCATTGGAAATTTGCGTTCTTATGGTAGACGCGTCTTGAAGTTGTTATTGTTGACATATTTTCCTTTATTTTTTTGGTTTGCGTTCCTCATCATGTTGTTGTCGAAATACATACAATATATATAGGAGCATAAACTCCTTAGGATAGTCATAGAAATTATTAACATGAAGGTAGGTACTATCATACTCCTTACGGTCCTAACTTTGTTTGCGATGTTTGTTGTCTTCATTATGAGCTATGTAATTATTTCCAGCAAGATGAAGAAAAAGAAAAAGAGTCTTGTGGGTGGAAGAGGAGGAAACATTCATAGTATAGGTGATGGTGCTATTGGCATGGCTACTCTCACTAGCATAACATGTAGTGGAGGTGGTGATGGTCATTTTGGTGGAGGAAGGGGTGGTGGTGGTGGTTTTGTTGGAGGAGGGGGTGGTGGTTTTGGTGGAGGAGGGGGTGGTGGCGGTGATGGTTGTGGAGGAGGGGGTGGTGATGGCGGTGGTGTAGGAGGTGGAGGTGGTGATGGCGGAGGAGGAGGAGGAGGAGGAGGTGGTGGTGGATGCTGAATTGGTAAAAAATGTAACTACTATTCTATATAGTAAAATGTTTTGATTTCAAGTTGTAATTTCCTTCATGTTTTTATTTTTAAAGCTTGTTGGTTATTGATAGAAATGTCAATGTTGAGATACTTTGTGAAGTGTTTGTTTGGACCATATATGGAAGAAAATTAATCAAAGAAAAAGGCAGTCTGATGCACTAAGCATCCCGAGTTATAGTTGGGGTACGTAGACAGTCTACCCTAACACAAACATTAATGTTTGTTTCCACTGTTCAAATTCATAAAATCATACAAAAAAACGTTTTCTTCATCTCACACACTTCTTGTACGTGCAACTGTTATCCACACAAGCATAAAAGGTGGTATTAATACCAAACTAGTCTGGAGAGTAATAGGACCCTGCAAAGTTGAGTGGTGTAGTTGGAAAGATGAGAGAATGCTAGTTTGAGAGGTAGTTATTTATTATCTCAAGAACAAATTGACACATTAATTTTTACATGGGATTAAAATTTAACTACATGTATATTAAAAAGAATTGAAAAATGTGCATGGCATTTATACAAATAAAAAAAATAAACTAATTATGATAAATGATAGGTGGTGGAGGAGGTGGTGGTGGATGTTGAATTGGTTAAATTGTGTAACTACTATTCTTTAGTACTTCAATCATTTGATTTCAAGTTGTAATTTCCTTCATGTTTTTTTTTATTTTAAAAGTTGTTGGTTTGGATAGACATGTCAATATTGAGATACTATGTTAACTGTCCATTTGGACCATATATGGAAGAAAATTATTGAAAGAAAAGGGTGTCTGGTGCACCAAGCATCCCGCGTTAGCAGGGGTAGACAACCTATCCTAACACAAGCATTAGAGCTTCGTTCCACAGTTCCAACCCATGACCTATAGGTCATATAGAGAACTTTTTTTTCATCTCACGCACTTCTTGTACGTGCAAACACTATCTACATGAGCGCAAAAATGTGTTATTAATACCGTTCGAACTAGTCTAAGGAGTGGTGTAGTTCGAAAGATAGGCCAAGTTTTAGGTAGTTATTTATTATCTCAAGAACAAATTGATACATGATCTTATTAATGCTAAATTAATACAATAGTACTTGAGCATTCTTCTTAAACTACTTACATGACTAGATATGAGACATGCCAAGTAGTATTTTTTGATAGTCACCGTTAGTTATTAAATCCGTTTTGTTTGTTGGACAAAAGGTGCTCCACTTTAACAAATTTTAGTAGACAGAGTTACCTGGTATCTGTGTTGGTAGGAGGTAGCAAGTACCAAGAGGACCTTGCAAGAAATGATAACTAGAAATACCTTTTGATTAAGCAGGCTTTGGGTACATCATCTCACTGATTCAATATGTCCGGATGACAAAAGTCTTCTTTACTTTCTTAAACTGTGCCAATCAAATTGAAACGGAGAGAGTAACATCTTTTACAGTGATAACAAGTCATGATCTATGCAACTTACTTGTTTCGTGTCATCCATTATCGTCCACAATGTGCAGCTGATCTCATCAAAGTTCAAATGGGACTGATCTCCAGAGAGAAATAAACCAATATTGTTTTTCAACAAAACCCAACTGCAACCTGGAATTTTCTTTATTCTTTTCAATTTCTTTGCCAGCCTAACTCGTTCCTCGTCTTTCTTCTTTCCGACAATACAATAAAGATCAGACAAGACCACGTATGGAGCTGCATTACTTGGTTCTAAGTCCAAAATCTTTTGAGCTGCAAGCTTTGCAAGATCAAGGCGCAACCGAGTCTTGCTGGCACCAAGAAGAGCACCCCAAACCCCAGAATGTGTCTTGAATGGCATAGAATCGATTAGACTAACTGCTTCATCAAGTAAATCAGCTCGTCCTAGGATATCAACCATTATAGTATAATGATCAGGCTCTGGTTCAATGTTGTATAATGATTTCATCGATTTGAAGTAGTTCCATCCTTCTTCTACGAGCCCTGCATGCATACATGCTGATAGAACCCCTAGAAAAGTGATACCATTAGGTTGCTCACCTTCATTCTGCAACTGGTGAAACAACTTAAGTGCTTCTCTGGCATAGCCATTTTGTGCAAATCCAGTAATCATTGCATTGAAAGAAACAATATTCGGGTAATTTATGAATTTAAAAATCCTATAGGCATCATCTAAACTTCCACACTTCGAATACATTGAGATTAGAGAACTTTGGATAGACAAATCTAACTCCATATCCATTTTCAAAACAAGAGCATGAATTTGCAGTCCTTGATTCAACATGGCCATACCAGCTGAAGCACTAAGCATGCTACTTAAAGTTAGAGGATTTGGTCTAACTGCACTTTGAAGCATTTTAACAAACCAGCAAAAAGCCTCCTCATATTCCCCTTTATTTACAAAACTAGATATAAGAGCTGTCCATGCAACATCATCTTTCTCGGGGATCATTTTAAATAGCTCGACACAAATTTCAGTCAACCCCTTTTCAGAAAACCCTGTAATCATGGCTGTCCACGAAACAACATCCTTTTCCGGAGCTCTTTTGAAAATCTCATATCCCTCTTCAAGTTTTCCAGCTTGAACAAAACCACTAATAAGTGAATTCCATGAAATGACGTCTTTCCTTAACATTGAATCAAACAAACTTTTAGCTGCATTTACACAACCAAATCTAGAGTACATAGTGATCAATGAATTACCCAAGAAAACATCAAATTCAAATCCCAAACGAGATACCAACCCGTGGACTTGATAGCCTTGTTGACGCTTACTAAATCTTCCACAAGCTTCTAAGACGATTGTTAGTATAGTAGGCTCCAGTCTCACATCACCTTCTCTTCTCATTGTTAGAAACAAATCAAACCCATCCTCGAAACAACAAACTTTCATATACCCATCAATCATAGCACCCCAAGTTACCTCATTTCTCTCCTTCATCATATCAAACAACTCCCGACCCTTAATAACTCTCCCATTCTTGGAGTACCCATCAATCATTGCACTACAAGAAACAATATCTTTCCGCACCATACCATCAAAAACACGAACTGCATCCTCTAACTTCCGAACTTTCAAATATCCATTAATCAATACATTTGAACAAACAGGTTCCCGAAAAACCATAGGTGTCCGATTATACAAATCCTCTGCCATATCAACTCTCCCTGCATTAACAAACCCGGTAATCATCGCAGCAAAAGACACCGAATTTCTCTCCGGCATAAGCTGAAAGAAACTAAAAATCTCACCAATTTCAACTCTATTCCTCATGTAAGCAGTCAGCATTGCATTCCACGAAGCAACACTCCTCTCAGGCATTTTATCGAACACTTCACGTGCATTCTTGAGTTGTCTGTTTTGTGAGTATGCAGTGAGCATTGCCGTCCAAGAAACGATATTTTTGCTGGGCATACTGTAGAAAATGGATTCAGCTTCTTTAATGTCCCCGTTTCGGCCATTTTCTGCGATTTGGGTGTTACAGTAAATCAAGAATTTGTTCGTTTTAGTGCCGGCGTTGAAAAGGGTCTTCGAAGAAGTTGAGTATTTAAGGTTGGAAAGTGAAAATTCTGAGAAAGAGAGAAGAAGGGATACATGTAAAGAGTTCAGCTTTGTTATCATTACTGAGAATCCCATAAAGCTTTAAGCTTCCATGGGAGAACTTTGAACTTTGAAGGAGAAAGGAAAGCGCGGTTTTTTCAAATCTTCCTTTAATATTTTGTTTTCTACTTTAACTATGGCTCAATAGTTAGCGAAACATAGCTACACTCTAATTTCTGATGATGTGTGTAAACTCTCTCGTTTGTTTAAAATTTTTGTTACGTGACACCTCACCTGAAAAAATAATTTCACTATTGTAGATCAAAATAAATTAATATTAGATTAAAAGTTAAGGTTAAAGGTTAAAATTATCACCATATAAATTAATTTATTCCAATCATGGCATCCACCATCTTCTTTGTGGTCTAGACTCTGTCGTTATATTGATATCTCTGACTTGAAGGAGAGAGTTCAGAGTTTAAAGAAGTCAATATAAAATATATTTTAAAGAATTAATGTATCAGCAAATAGAGTCGTTATATGTGTAGGTGAACGAAGATTTTAGGGACAAACGCGCCTAGAAGCATTTCTTGACAAACATTTGGTCTAGTCAATGTCTGAGTGTATTTCGGTAATCATTAGGTGATAGTTCATATAAGAAACTCACACTCTTACTAGTGAAGGTAAGAAACTCGATAAAATGGAATAATTTAGGTGAGTTTTTTACTCTTAACTCAATAACTAATTTAATAGTAGTTTGGCTAAGACATAATGTATAAATGTGTCATTTAATTTGATATCTTGATATTTATGCCTTTTATATTTGAATGTGCACCAATTATGTATTGTTGACACCTAATTTTGACCCTCCGCGATAAGAATTAATTGGTGAGCTTCTTAAATTCCGAACGATTTGAAATAATTGACCTTATAAAATTCAAAATATTTTCAAGTTAGTTTTATGTGATTTTGTCACTTTTTGTCACTTTTTAAATAATATATATATATATTATATTATTAATTAACATATTTTATAAATATTTGAAAATCATCTCAAAAAGATTTCGTTTTAATTAAATATTTGGTTAATTAGTTTAGTGACTTTGTCACCTTTTGGAACTCTTAAATAATATATATATATATATATAA